CTTTTTGAAAAATAATAGATAATATATTATCAATGAAAAATTTAAAAAAAAACATTTGAAATAAAATTCAGAAAGCAAAAAAAAAATATTAGTTATTTTTCTTTTGTGAAAAGCACAAACTTGCAGCATTTAGTTTTATTGTCTATTGAAATCATTGGTATACTTGTTTTGTGTGTATAGTTTTAAAATTCCTCTCTGCTTTTACTTCTTACTTGATTGCTGAGTATCCAAGCTCCAGTAAACTAGGTTTTTATCTTTTATATTACACACTAATAACTGACCCATTTATATTGCTTTATTATGAAAACAAAGAGCAAATATTTTTATACAAATCTTGTATCCAACCAGTACACTTAACCTCACACACATGTTCATCAATATGTGTGTGTTAAACTGGGTAAAGTGAGTATTACAATATGCACTCACATATGCATAAAACTAGTGTTTGTAAATATAAACAGGTTTACTGAATATATTTCCTCTCTTATTCAGTACTAGCAGGATGGCCCGGCATTGTCCATGCTTGATTCAAAAATCGAACGACTCGTACAGAAATCGCTATCACTTGACTTAAAATATTTTTGCCCTTCCTTGTCTTTAAAGGAGTGCCTTTTGCCGTGCTGATGTTGCTACATGCCTTACTTCTTGCCTATCTCACACTGCAAATTTTTTCTATACTAAACATTAAATCTGTTATGTAAAAAGAACTAAACAAAATAAATACAAAACGATCAGCTTTAAAAAAAGGACTCATAACTGGAAAAACCAAATGAAAAAAGAATGTTAACAACAAATACTTTTTCACACCCAACCCAATTCTGCGGAATCAGAATCAACGTTGAGTTTAAGCAAGGGAATGAGCCAATTGGAGTAAAGTGCCATGCAGATTTAAATTTTTCCCACTTGTGACGAATGCAGCTATCAATTTTTTTTGCATGCTAGTTAACATTCGTGTCAGTCAGCTGTTGGCTCTCACGGTGGCCAATAGAATCTTCCTGCCTATTCGTGGCAGCCAGCAAAAGGCACTCACTCTGGCCAGTAGAAAATGGCCACAAACTACATGAAAAGTGCCATAGAAGCATGAAAAAATCAATTATTTCCACTATTGATGGGAGTTGGGAAATGCAAAGTCAGTCTTGGCCTTCCCGCTAACTTGGAGCATGTGCATGTAAATTTTGGTGCAAATCCGTCTAATTGCAGCCATGCATTTGTTACACACACACACACACACACACACACACACACACACACACACACATCCTGCCTTTTATAGATAGAGATAATGGTGAATTCTAAATTTTCTTTTAAAATTGCTTCGGATTTCTTGGTTGTATTTGTAAAATATATGAACTTTGTCAATACATGATTTTTTTTTTTTTTTATCTCGGCCCAATAGTTAAAAAGAGGATTCTGTTTTGGACTCTTCAGAAACATATTTCTCTAGTTCTAATGCAATTATTGCTGTTACAAATAATTGGGAACAGGCTAATATTTTCTATCAGATCAACCAGCATGAAAGAAATGTCAGTATTATAGAACATAATAATAAATATATGTCTTCTGTTTTTTCTTCTATGTACCATGTCCCTTCAGGGTGTGGATGATCATGGCACTCCACAACTCCCTATCTCTCAGAGCCCCTAGCAGCATTTCTTCTTTTGTCCCATTCCATCATCCATTCACACAGTCTTGTCCAGTAGGTGGTCAACTGCCTTCCCCACATGACATGCTGAAGATGGAATATTTGAATTAAAAAACAAGTCCGTCGCAGGAGTCACTATAAAAGTATTTTGATATGCAAATTACTGAACATCGTCTTCCAGCTGTCGACAAATGGAAAAAATGCTCAGCTGATAAAAGCTGTTGGTGTTCTTGAAGCAGGGAAGCAAAATTCGGATATTTTGGCTACCGCGTTTGTTGGAGAATGAGTTATTTTTCTGACTGGTTGTGTGCATTTCATTTGTGAGATAGTACCTATGAATCGAGTTTTTGGCATTTCTTTCTGCCCTCCGATATTCGAGTCTGAACTTAGTGATTTATTCTCTGTGACGTGGAAATAATCTGCGACAAACATTTCCTTTGTAATCCCAGATCGCTTACTTGTCCATCCATGAAATTCTCAGTATCCATCTGTAGAAAAACATTTGTGTTGCCTCCAGTTTCCTATTCATCTATGCTGAAATTGTCCAGCATTCACTGCTATACAAGAGGATTGATATCACAGCATTTCAGCACTCTTTGTTCCTAAAGAAATTTTCCCGTTTCTTAGCACTTTGTTTAGCTTTCGAAAGGATCTTTTGGTAATCTGATGCCTGTTCAGATTTTTCAGTGTTGCATTTTGCATCCTCTGTTAAAACACTTCCCAGATATTCAAATTTCTGTACTTGTTTTGATGTTGAATTCATAGTTCACATTGTGGGCTTTTTTCTTTCTGACAACCATACTTTCTATCTTCTTACAGTTGATGGCTAATCATTTTTTTCTTGTTTTCCTTTGCTACTCTGTCTAGGGGGTTCTCTAGTTTCAGTGTCATCTGTGTGTCTTATATTGTTAAGATTGTGCCCACCTGATAAATCCTGGTAGGGTCTCCAGCTTGCTTAGTATAGCCTCACTGTAGAGGTTGAACAGATCTGGAAAGAAGACACATTCTTGTCTTATACCCTTTTCTATTTTTGTGTAATTCATTACCTATCCTTGTGTAGGCAGTTTGCTCCCAGTATAAGTTCTAGATTATTCTAACAGCCTTTCCAAGTAAATTAAGCTTACCTAGCAGTTCAAATAGATTCTTGTGCTGTACCTTGTTAAATGCTTTTACATAATCTATAAAACTGGGTACATTGGGCTATTGGATGCCTTGGTTACACCAGTCTGACTGTATTGTCAGTTTGGCTGTTGAGATCATGTAGATCTTTGTCTATTCTGCCATTGGGGTCTTCAGGGGTTGATTGTGTTCAGTCTGGACCTTCCTCTTTGAATTTACTACCATAGTTGACCCTAAAGGTTTTGGAACTTCAGATATATTCACTGTTGGGATCACTGGGACAAGTAAGCCCTCTACCATGCCAAGGAACAACCATATATATTTTACACTGGATGTTGAAATGAACAGTTCATTATCAAACATACCACTTTGACTTATTATTAGATTAATTCATAAACCAGTGTTTTAATTCACTAATCTGTTGTCCCAAGCAACGATCCCAATGCTAATTAGGAACAAGACAAGATATCCCTGGTCAGCTGGACAAGAACAGTACAACCCATAGATTAAATAAAGGGTTGTTTGATATTCAATGATGGTTACTTGGGTCGACAAGCACCTAATGAAGGCTGGAGGGTCCAACAGCCAAAACATTTTGGTAACAACAAAAATAAGGACAATAGTAAATAATGATAATTCCTCCTCATAATTCACATAGATATTTAAACAAAACCAATGGAATAATTTACCAAAATCTCTGGTGTGTTTAGCTTGAAATGGGTACTATTAAGAAGAATTGTAATTACTACAACATCACAATGATTTTAAAATTTAATTTAATTAGGTCTGGGTTTGATGTGTGCATATATATATATATATATATATATATATATATATATATATATATAATTATTTTTATAAAAAAAAAAAAAAAAATTATAACATAAGTATGTTATAAAATCACTACACACTGGTTCCTTGTCTTGAAGAAAAGTAAGCTTTCCATCTCATTCTTCTGATAAGGTTTTTCAGTTTGCAGAGTTAAATGTACGAAATAATCCCTTTTTTGTTTGTAGTGGGAATGTTCTTAAGTGATACTCGAAATTGATTCTATCCATATTATAAGAATAGAATAGACAGGGCTCGACAGTAATAGGAGCTAATATGGATTGAATAGGAGCTAATATGGATTGAATCAATTTCGGAGTATCACTTAAGAACATTCCCACTATAAACAAAAGGATTATTTCAGACATTTAACTCTGCAAATTGAAAACCTTATCAGAAGAATGAGATGGAAAGCTTTCTTTTTCTTCAAGACAAGGAACCAGTGTGTAGTGATTTTATAACATACTTATGTTATAATTTTTTTTTTTTTTATAAAAATAATTATATCTGCTCTACTTTGTATTGAGCACTCTTTTAAGAATAGTAATTGTTGGTTATTGGAATTCATTCCGTGTATACCAATTATATACTTTGATATTAGCTCCTATTACTGTCGAGCCCTGTCTATTCTATTCTTATAATATGGATAGAATCAATTTCGAGTATCACTTTAAGAACATTCCCACTACAAACACAAGGGATTATTTCGTACATTTAACTCTGCAAACTGAAAACCTTATCAGAAGAATGAGATGGAAAGCTTACTTCTTTCTTCAAGACAAGGAACCAGTGTGTAGTGATTTTATAACATACTTATGTTATAATTTTTTTGTTTTTTTTTTATAAAAATAATTATATCTGCTCTACTTTGTATTGAGCACTCTTTTAAGAATAGTAATTGTTGGTTATTGGAATTCATTCCGTGTATACCAATTATATACTTTGATATTAGCTCCTATTACTGTCGAGCCCTGTCTATTCTATTCTTATAATATGGATAGAATCAATTTCGGAGTATCACTTAAGAACATTCCCACTACAAACAAAAGGGATTATTTCGTACATTTAACTCTGCAAACTGAAAACCTTATCAGAAGAATGAGATGGAAAGCTTACTTCTTTCTTCAAGACAAGGAACCAGTGTGTAGTGATTTTATAACATACTTATGTTATAATTTTTTTTTTTATAAAAATAATTATATCTGCTCTACTTTGTATTGAGCACTCTTTTAAGAATAGTAATTGTTGGTTATTGGAATTCATTCCGTGTATACCAATTATATACTTTGGTATATATATATATATATATATATATATATAACTTTTCCATATTCAAAAATGTATTATGTATTGAAATGCTTTATCCACTTTGTTTTAATATCTAACATTTAACTCTATTTCTTGTTTACAGGGAAGAGAAAATAGAATTGTTATCGGACGTAATGGATGAACTTGATGATACAAAGACTCAGTTGGCCAAAATCAAAACGGAAGTGAGTATGAAATGGATAGCATGATACCCTTTAACGCTATGGAATATCACTACTATATTTCTAACTTTTTTTTTTTGATCTTATTAGTGTTTGAGCCTTTTATATTCTTACTCTGTCCTGGACATTGAGTTCTACCTGGATTCTATCTTCTTGGGAATTTTTATATATATATATATATATATACACACACAGCTTGAAGATTGTATTTAAGCATAAAACAGACTGTCACTGCTTGGTGTACACTTTTATATTTACATATGCTCTATCCTTGATATTGAGCACTTTAGCTCATAAATATAGCATACCATAAAACTATATTTTATCATATATATAAGAAAAATCAATGATAAAGTGGAAAAATTTTGATCATTGTTGAGTCGACAAAATCTTGGGCATTTTGATAGATTACTGTACATTACATAGTATTTAAAACAGATTACTGTACATTACATAGTATTTAAAAAAGTATTTAATAACCAAATGTTGCGAGTTTTGATAAATTTCGTTGGTGCAAAACGTGTATTTTGATAATTAGATTAAAAGATGTCATAGATAAGCAAAATTTCAACCCAAGACATGTTATAAGAGCTGTGTTTATTCATAGGATCTTATTTTCTAAAAACTAAATAATGGCAAATATTGAAGGTCATTAATCTGAAGGATTTTTCTCAATATCATTCTACTTGAATTAAAAATGTATTCTTGTTTTTTGTTTGCTAAATTTTAAAGGAGCATGCCAGTAGTGTTTTGTAATGTAATACATGTAAACAGCCCAAAATCCTGTTCAGAATTCTTTACAGTCTAAGCTTTGCTTTTATTTTCTATGCTCTCTTTCCTCGTTCCTCTATCTCTAAATATGTATCTTTTATTATAAGTATCATCAAAATGCTGTTTTCCAGAAACTGCTTTAAACAAACAATAGCTCAACTCTCCAAAATGGTTGTTTTTGTCTCTCTACAGAAATACAAATCAGGCTAATTACTGAAATGATGATTTCACTTATAGGCTTGTGAAACAGCCTCATCACCAAATGAGTACCTACCACACCTACGAAAGAAAATTATTTAAACTCAGTGAAAATGATGTTAATTCTAGTGTGCTTATTCTTACAACATAAACCATTCATGAAAAACATTTCTAGCACTTGACATTGCTTTCACTTTCCATCGTATATATGGTCAAGAAAAAAATTTTTTATTGGAAATCATAATAAAAAGAATTGTTCCTTTTTATTTAATTTATTCCTTTTTCCAATCTGGGAACCCGTCCTTGTTATTCATAACAGATTGTTAGAGTTCACATAAATGCATTAGCATAAAACACTTTTATTTGCATACCCTCCTCCTGCACCAACTAAAAGTCCTCCCACAAAACACTCTGACAAAGAGCTAACTGTGAATATTGCTCCTTTATTAAACTTAAATGCTTCTGCAGTGTCTTAAAAAAAGAAAATAAATAAATAATGAATTCCTTTGTACTTTTTCAACTTCAATTTTTTTTTTTTTAATTAGTTGATGTGATGTCAAAACTATGAATTCCAGTATTTGGCTGTTTCATCTTCCTTCAAATGATCTATTCACTTTATATTTGCAACTTTATATCAGGAGAGTATTTTGATTGGTTGTCCTGGGTTATTATCTAGTTAAATTGGACTTCTTTTTTCTTTTTTTTTTCTTTCTTTTTTTAAAATCAGACCAATCATCACATCAATATATTCTTTCATGGCAAATTATCTAAAAATATAAACAAGTTTGTGAAATACTTTTCAATGTTTAACAAAGAGCCACTTCATTTATGACACTTTCATCTATAGCTCTCTGCAACTCTCCTGTTGCCATAAATATCAAAACCAAGAAACTCCTCTCTGTTTGTCCATTTTTCTCTGTGTCATCTAATGCATCTTGGTGTCAAAATTGCTGTATTACTTTAATAACCATTGGCTGCTAATTACTATTCAGAAAACTTGTTTGCCCAAGTATCTGCTGCCATCCCTCTGCTTCATGCATCTCTTTCATACCCTGAATCAAATTGCTAACAATCCATCTGTGAGCTGATATGATTCATCATTCTTTTTACTCCATTCCATCTCAGCAGGGTATTTTAATTCTGTTCAACTGTGAACTAGTCATAAGAAAATTATATTGATTTTTTTTTTTTGTCTTTTTAATAAGCTCTGTATGTGGAAATTGTCAATGATTCTCTTTTGCAAGCATGCATATATATATATATATATATATATATATATATATATATATATATATATATATATATATATATAAAAAATAAAAAAGAAAGAACAGTCAGATTTATTATCCAGAGTTCTTTTACATTTATTTTTAAAAACAGTGCTCAATACACAGTAGAGAATATAATTATTTTTTTTTTTTAAAATAAGGACACAGAAATTACCATGTTTCAAAACCACAACCTAAATAATAAATTAAACTTAGAATTTGAAGTTTAGTTCCATTTTCAATTTATTCTGGATCACTTGAAAATGGAACTAAACTTTAAATTTTAAGTTTAATTTAAGATTTAGGTCTTGGTTTTGAAACAAGGTAATTTGTGTCACAATGAATACATATCTTAAAAAATTAATTTATTTATATATATATATATATATATATATAAATGTTTATAAAACATGTTTTGCTTTTATGTAAGCTTCATGAGAAATGGAAAAGGGGAAAAGAAAATTCCGGTATTTTTAGTTTTGGGTTTTTGTTTTTCGTTGGTTAAGCAGACTTCATGTGTATTTGTCCTGTCAAGCAGCATTTATGTGTATAATTCATGCATGTATGTGTATCACAATTCTAGTTTGTCTATCAGGCACATGCAGTGATGACCCTGGGTTGCTGGTACCCTGGGCAAACTGAACTTTAGCACCCTTACAAATAGAATTTTTAAAAATTTTCACAAGGAGAAAAATTGAAAATGTAGAATAATGAGTTTATTACAATATACAAGTTAAAGAAAACATTCATTATCCTACCTAAAACATTTAGATCTGTAAATCTCTTCATGACAATTTCTACACATATTACAAGATGATTTTCTATTGACAAAATAACCAAAGTATTTAATCTGTCCTGAATCATGGATGACTGCAAGTATGTTTTTATAAGTTTTAGTTTTGGAAGATCCCAAACACATGACATGGCAGTATGATGGTGCTCCAGGTGGCTGCCTGAGTTACCAGTACCTTGAGCTGGCCCTGGGCACATACCCTTGTTTGGTTCATTGGCTATGACTTTAGCAGTAGCAAAGTTGAAGCAGAGACCATTTTCAGTGCATCCATATTTGTGATTAAAAATTATGAATAGTTTCCTATCCTCTAAAAATTCCAAGAAATTAACAGGTACTACATTTTGCCCAAGAAGTGTAGAAACCTCAAGAGACATTTTCTTTTTAATAGATTCTATTTGCTCTCCTTTTATTTTGTTTTCATGTCATGCAAAAATATGGCTTGTTTGTTTTGGATATACTGTGCATCTTGGTAGACCCTATTGTCTGAGTATTGGTTAGAGCTAATCTTAACTACTTAAAAGCAATCAGAACTGGAATTGTTGAAATGGTTTTAACTTCTGACTTTATTGCTGATATTGCTTTCTACCTAAGGTTATTTGGAAAGGCATAAATCCAACTCTTCCTGCACTGATACATGTCTATTGTCGAGAGGCACACTTTCTTCAATAAGACTTTCAATTGCCCAGGCTGGTAGATATCAGTTTCACTGTTGAAAGAAAAATACAGGGATATTTATTCAAATTTGTGTATCCACTAAATTTAATGTTTATGGTAATAAGAAATAAAATTTATCTTTATTATGATCTTGTCATAACCATGCCACTTTATCTCTTCTCAATTAATTACCTGCCAAGATCAGAATACTCAAATTTTTACAGTCTCCATTGCTTGTTATGCATCACCTCCTCCTACTCCTTCTTGTTTGGCTCATTCTTTCCCTCCTTTTTCTCCTCTTCCATCTGCTCCTTTTTCTCCTCTTCCATCTGCTCCCTTTTCTCCTCTTTCACCTGCTCCCTTTTCTCCTCTTTCACCTGCTCCTTCTCACCCCCCAATAAATTTAAATTGATATTATTTTTTTTATCTGCCTAAATATTATATGTTGATTTGGAGGTTTCAGTACATTTGATGTGATTTTAAATTATTTAAATATTCAGCAATAATGAATATTTTTCTGCACTTTTTGAATATATCTGCCTTGAACTAAATAATATTTGATGTCTTTCTGGTTTAGTGACTATTGTCATTATACCTCCACTTGAAGTAAACTATATGCTGAAAAGTTCTTGGCTCACTCAACTTCCCAAAATATGACCAAATATCAATTTTTTTTTAATCTCTTCTTGCTTGCACCAAGAACTTTTCAGTATCTTTTCATATAATCTGTTGATAATTGATTCATTGGGTTTGTGGCTACTATAATCAAGTTAGTTTTAATCCGATTAGAAGTAAATTAGATATCAAGTATGCAATATTTCAGTCTTTTGTTAGAACATTTTGTATAATCTGTATGACAGATTGATTATATCTCTTAATGAAATTTGGTCTGGTCCTTTATATATGCCAATTAGACATGTTGAATTTTTAGAAGCAGTTCACAAGTCCACCATAATTAAAATAATATATAGTGTTGACTATGTTCAAAATGATTAAACTCTTATTCTTTGGTTAAAAGATATTGTTGAATTATCCTGTCCTGCCTGCTAATTAAAAATGAGCTCACCCTTTTCCATAAGAACCTAACAATTTTTTCAGAGAAAATTATTCATTTGCATCTGAAATCTATGCTGGGCAATTTGACAGATTGAACACTTCTGGTAGCAGAGTATAATTTTGATGCCTATAAAAAAATCTGTTGAGGAAAGTACAATAATTTTACCTAGAACAGCACAAAAGGTAATGTGCAAAGTGGCATCAGACAATGATCCTTCTTGGAAGAATATGAAAGTTATTAGTCATGCTGGAAAGGCTATAGG